GAATTACATCTCCAGCTCCAAGTGTAGATGTACATTGAAACATTTTGACTGACCCAATCTAATGTGTTTTTTTTTTCATATTATGGGCCTGTGATTTATTTAATTTAATTTATTTATTTATTAGATTTCAATTTTTCATCCCATTTGGGATGGGCAAAAATTCAAAATCTCAAAAATTCTCATGGGGCAAGAAAATTGTTTCTCACCCACCTCCAGGCACAACTTTGTTTTCTGACATGCAGAGAATACATTCATGGAATACACTACTCTTTAAAGAGCTATTTTTCAAAATGTGGATGATGGAGTAGGTTTCGCCTGAGCTCATGTGAGATCTGTTGAAAATGGACTGGATCTGAAAGACCACAAAGATGTTTGATGTTCTTTAGCATGTTCTTCAGCAAAAGCATTGTGAGAACAGTCATTGCTCTTGTGAGTTTTCCTTTCCAACAGACCACATGAAACAAGCTATGCTTTGTCCATGTGGAACAAGCTGTGTCTTGTCACAGTGTACAAGTCACAGACAGCATGCCCTATTAGTGGGAAATAAACATCCAGAAGAGAGGAATGGGGTTGGAGGGGTGGAAGGGCAAGCGGATGAGAAGCAAACAGAGAAAGAGGAGGTGAAAATGGAGAAGAAAGTGGAAAGGAGAAACAGAATAAGCAGAGAAGGAAAACAAAGGTAAGATGGAAATAGAGAGGCAAAAGCTAAAAGACCAAGATACAGAAATAAATATACAAAAGAAGAAGAGAAAAGAAGATGAAAATGTAAAATTAGAAATCAAGTAAACAGATTAAAAAGAGAGAAAAAGGAGGAAAAAGGAATTGATACAACAAAGAAATCAAAAGAAAAAAGATGCAAATTAATAGATATATAAGAGGGGGAAAGGTACAGGAGAAAGACATGTAGAAGTCAGAGCACTAGAAGCACAAACACGAGAAAGAGAAACATAACAAAGGTCACTGTATATATTTTATGTAACTTTATTCACAGGAAAGAGACCATTTTAAAATCATTTCTCCTTCTGGTGTTTTGTGGCCAGTGTATTCGATGTGGTTTGTGACTTCAAACCAGAATTTTGGGCCGTTGGAGCAAGAGAACAGAGGTGTAGATAAAACAGATTATATCCAACTAGCATGGCCCCTGCACCAGAATTACATTCATATTCGTGAAGCGTTCCATTTAAAAAAAAGAAAGAAACAGAAGAAAAATCCAACAAGGAGTCCACAGAGTATGGAAAAGGTGACAGAGGAAGTCTGGTGGAGCAGAGAATTTAATACAGGGCAGCTCCTTGGCAAGCTCCCTACCTGGGGTTTATGCACCGAAGTAGTGATGGCCTTCTACCTTTCTCTCTCTGGGGTCTCAGATGGAGGGATGGGTCTCCCCTCTGGTGTTACTAATGGGTCATCAGTTTGGGCACCACCAATTTAAAATCCCGGAAGTATCTTTGGATGGATGAGTGCATGATAAGCAGTTATCCCTGCTTTTATCGATATTTCTACCAGACTGTCTCAGAGACAGCACACATAGCAATTTACTCAAAGGGAGGTGATCTACTAACTCTCCTGATAATATGGGGTATGTTCAGCCAATCAGAAAACCGGAACCAATACCACGTGACCAATCAGAACCAACCAAAGGCAGCTCAAAATTACAAAAAAGGTATGTGAAAAAAGGTCACACAGATTTTGCAGTCATCTTAACTGCAAAAATAAGGGGTGACTTTGGCACTGTCTCTTAGAAAATGTGGCAGTTCAGCAGAACAAATGGAGAGAGATACACAGTATCATAAAACTAACGATGTTGCCCTCCCTGGGGCATATTTTATACACACACACACACACACACACACACAGACTTTAAAAAAAAACACAAAGTATTTGCATCTTTAAAAGCACTATGGGGTCTCACTCCTCTCCAGGTTAAGTCCAAGACAGTGGTCCAAAGTAGTGTGCTGTGGAGCTTTAAGAGTCCTGTGATGTGAAATCTCCCAAGAGCCATGAATGTTACTGCAACATGTAGGCAGGAAAGGGTGAGGTAAGGGTGGTATGACCTTTAACTTTGATTCTGTTGCTTATGTGGATTTAGGTCGTTATATTACATTAGAAAAGTAGCAATAATCTGTTACATTAGTATTTTAAAAACACTTTTAAAAGAAAGAAATAGGGGGAAATCATTAGGAGTTAGCACAATGAACAATACTGTAATGGTTATTCTGGGATTTACTTATTATAGCTGTGAAGTTGTTATATCCTACTCTGAATCAACGCATCTCAAGTTGTGTGGTATAGTCAATTTCTGTGTATTTATGATACTGTAATAGTTCTCCATGCTGGCATAGGCCAGGTTATTGAACTCCCTTACATTGGTGAGCAGTCAGCTCTCTCTCTCTCTCTCTCTCTCTCTCTCTCTTTCTCTCACACATACACACACACAACTAGGTTCACTGATTTGAGTGGGGTCATTGGTTGAGTAACAATTCATCTGGCACTGAGAAAATAAGTGGAGAGCCTCTCCTGTCTGGGGAGAGGGCTGTCTTTTCACAGATATAGGTCTGGAGTTCAAATTGCAATTCACTTCTTGAAATCTTTGGTGGGTGTGTATATATGGTAGGTCAGAACTCTCTATTCAGGCAGAACTCCCACTGGTTAGAAATGCACACAACTAGCCAGATTCTGTCCTAATTTACACCTGTGCAACACCAAGACTGCATAGTAAACTCACTGGCACTTTCGCTGCAAGATTTTTCCTATACATATTAAGCCACAGCTTTTCTAAATTAAAACATTTATGTGTATATCTCCCTGAAAAAAGAGTTAATAACAGTGAGCTACTGGTAAAATACATCCTAAACTAAAGAGGCACTGTACAAGGTTTCTCTGTAATAAAGGAAGCTGTTGTTATGTACAGACATAGCAGAGCTGCATTAAATGGCATCATCCAGTGCAGTAGTTCTCAAAGCCGGTCTGCCGCTTGTTCAGGGAAAGCCCCTGGGGCACCGGACTGGGTTGTTTATCTGCTGAGTCTGCAGGTTCAGCCGATCGCGGCTCCCACTGGCTGTGGTTTGCTGCTTCAGGCCAATGGGCGCTGCAGGGAAGCGGCGTGGGCCAAGGGATGTGCTGGCCTCCCTTCCCGCAGCCCCCATTGGCCTGGAGCGGCAAACCAGGCCAATGGCCTGAGGACGTGGCAGGTAAACAAACCGGTCCGGCGTGCCAGGGGCTTTCCCTGAACAAACGGTGGATCAGCTTTGAGAACCACTGATCCAATGCATACAGATCATAGATAATGCATATGTACTTTATGTGAAGTGTAAGGATAATTTCCTTGCTTGTTTTACAAGTGAGAGATGAAATTACAACTGCTCTGTGGAGATTATGCAATATACTTGTGATGGAATGGATAGCCTAGAATAAAATCAGAAATCAGATAGAAAGTCTTGACATGTTTAATGTGGTGTTCACATGTGAAATATTTGCAATAAAAGACACAAGCCTTCTGCCTTTAGGTTTCATTCCAAAGTGAAAAGTCAGACCAGGTGCCTCAAAATGTTTGCTAAGGTCCTTGTTGAGGGTCACAGGGACTGAGATATGATTGGGTATGGAAATTATGTGAAATGCTTAGTTTCAGTATGAAACCAGCTGAAACTCTTTGACTTTGACTGCAAGAATAAAGCCATTTGAATTAGTTAGTAAATCGAGCTTGGAAACACAATTCTCTCACTCTCAAATTAATTAAACAAGCAGCCCTGTTTCACTTAGCATAAAGGTTTGTATTTTCTTGCACAAAAGAGAAAACAGAGTCACATGGTCTGTTATTTGGAAAAATGCTGCTATGTAACACCTTTGCCCAGCTTAAAAAAAGGCATTAATATACTTTTGGATTCTGTTAACCCCTTAATCAGTCAACATTTTTGGAAAGTTCAGAAGACATGGGGGTGACAAAGCTAGGAGGCGGGCAAAGGGGCATGGCAGGTATGTTGGGGTGTGGGAACATGGTTGCAGTCAGTCAGAGGGGCTGATCAGTAAGGCTGAGAGCCGAACAGGGAAAGCTGGCACAGTGTGTGGAGTGAGAGTACTGTGTAGCTGGAGGACAGTGGAGAGAGAGCAGAGCCGGAGCAGCTGGGCAGCAGCTGTAGGCGTACACTTAGGGAAAAGGCAAATAGGCAGGGTGGACAAAAGGCATAGTAGGGATATAGCATGCTAGCTGTGGAGGGAAGCAGGGAGAGGGTTAGGTTATGGTACTTGAGCAGGAGGAATGCCATCTGCAACATAGTGCAGTGGGAGCCAGCTGGCAGGGTTTCTGAGGAGAAGCTTATACAGCGTGCTTCTGGCTAGTTAGAGAAGACCTGTGTGCCAGCTGATGGAGCTGCCAAGGAAGAAGAAGCTGACAATGTGTGGGTGCGGGAGAAGCTAAAAGCCAGCCAGACAGGCAGGAGTGGCTGTCTTTGGCAGATCACAAAGTTTCAGTAGTCCAGAAGCACTGAAACCCTTTAAGCTAAGAACGGCTCTGGCATACCACAACAGTGGTGCGTTACACTGGAGGGGAATTACAATGGGGCTCTGTGCTGGCATCTGCCTGTGGATCTGATTGTAGGATAATTACCTGAGTCCAGAATCCATTTTACATATCCATACGCCATTTTACAAAGCCCCAGTTACATAGAATCCTGAATGTCCTGGTTATGGAGTCAGTCTAATGTTTTTTATATCACATTCATCACAATTATATAAGAACCAAAATGCGCCCAAAGATTTTCAAGGCCCAGTGTAAAACAGACTCAATTTATAAATGTGTTTAAATGCTATTTTTCTTTCCTACCCATGACTGGAAGGGTTGCTCAAGCCAAAAGCTATCACAGCGTTATGAAAGTTAATGGTATCAGCAATTATTTGAGCCTCTGGTTAACGAAAATCACAGCTGACATTGAATGACAATTTATACTGACTTTAATCTATGCAGTTTGTGGAAGTCCAGTGCAAACAGAAAAAAAATATATTTGTACCTGCTTTGTAAATCATTAAGATGCAATCTCCCTACATAATGGGTGGCTGACGAGACGGTGATGACTCTAGCATTGTGACTGCGAGTTCCTGATTGCTTCAGTGTTTCCAAGAGAAGGTTAGTCAACAGGAAATGTCCCAAGTAGTTCAACCCAAAGTGCTCCTCAAATCCGTCCTCTGTTTTCCTTTCAGGGACCAGCATCACCCCTGCTAAGGAAGAAAGTGCAGAAAAAGTGTGATGACTTCAGAGACTGAATGAGGATTCCTGACACAAAAGCAACACAAGATTCCTGCTACACATCTTAAACACAACTTTCAGCATGATGGATGATTGGTGATTGCATGTGAACTGTAAAACTGACAATGATAGACTCCCCTGGAGAAAAATGACAAACTCCAGGCCTCAGTTTACCGATCTAGAAAATGGATAGAATCATCCCTCCCTTCCTCTGGCACTGTAAGGATTAATTAGTTAATTTTTGTAAGGTGTTTTGAAAATGATGGGTTCAATTTAACCTTTGGGTTTGCACCAGCTCTCAACACTGTGGGCCCCTGGCAGTGGTAAGTTCATCTGGAGTGGGAATGCAGAAATGCAAAAAGCTCCCTGCCACCCTACCAGTGAGCAGGGCCAGGCTAATCAGCAGATGTGCTCTTCCAGGCAACTTTTCTATTGAATTCTGGCTGGAGTTTAAAAAGCTACCCTCCCCCAGGGGCAAACCCCCATCCCCACAGCTGTCTCCATGTGCGGGGAGGTGGAACTGGAGCAGAAATAAATCTACCCTGATAAGTATTAACAAAACAGTGTATACACACACACAGTTTTACTAGGACTCATTAGGGAAATACATACTGTGTATATCTCTATATACAATTTTCAAACTTGGGTGCCTAAAGTTAGGCTATTAAATCTGTAGTTAGGCCCCTAAATCCGTAGTTAGGCCCCTATATAACAGTGGTCTAATTTTCAAGCAGCTGCAGCTCTTATTAACTTCTCTGGAAACAGGTTGTTCAATACCTTGGAAAATCAGCCAAAGCTTCCATTTAAGTGTCTAATTATGGATTTAGGAGCATAACTTGAAGCACCCAACTTCGAAAATGCTACATGTATCAGGATGATATGGAAGGGGTATGTATAAAAACAAGAAAAAAAATTGAATTAAAAAGTTATGAAATACATTTCATTTTTTTAAAATTGCTGCACAACTGGATTGAGAGAATCAGAGATGCATATTGTTCATGTGGTTAATAGTTTTGAAGGTTTTCTGCTTTTTCTCTGAAACACTAAGTACCATATGATGGGAAGTTTAACTGTGCTCTCTGACATGGAAGAATATAAGCTTCCTCCCAGTGATGCTTCACATTTCCATTATAAAGCCTTTCACCAAAAGTCAGACGGATGATGGCATATGAACATCCCAATTTGACTTGCTCCTACTGTGCTTTAGTATCACTGCTTCCTTTTTGGGGTCCACTTGCCAAACAATGTCATCATGCTACAGGGTGCTTGGAAAGAATGGAGTACTTTTTTTGTTTGTATGGCAAGCTTCTGTAGCAATTTTTTCTAATACATATGTAATTCCTACTCCTTAATGGGCCTATACACTGAAAAATAGATGGCGGTGTGTGATGGTCTGGAATGGGGCATGTGCATTCAGTAAGAGCAGAGATAAATAACTGTACCATTTCTATGTACAGCTCTTTTATACAGTTAGGAAGAGAGAGAGGAGGAGGAAGGGGAGTAGAACGATGGTGGAAGAAAAAGAAAGAAAGGGAAAATGTAGGGGAGAGGAAAGCAGAGGTGAGGAAGCAAGAGAAAGGTGGAAAGGGGAGTAGAGGGAAGGAATCAAAGAAGACAGAGCATGGGTAGGGGGGAAGAAAGAAGTGGAAGGAGTGAGTAGCTCAGAAGCAATGTAACATGCTACTATATGGAAGACGTAGGCTGAACCTCAGCAAAGTCCCTCCCACTTTGCAGGCTGGTGGCATAAGGAAACCCTATAGAAGTGATCTGTTTGGGCTCTATGAAGACCCTGTTCGGCAGGTCATTCTGATATTTTTATGAATCTCTGAGATCCCCTGAAATGGGAGGAGCACTCCATGGCCAGTTCATCTGCATGTCAGTTCATATTCTTTATAATTGCGGCGTCCAGACCGCGAGGCTTCTGTTGTACTCTACCATTTCCTCAGCTCCACTGAAGCACTGTTATTCAGGGCTGGTGTCCTCCATGGAGCAGCTGTGGAGTCACCCTGAAGCTGGAGAAGGAAGGAGGATTCCCCCTTCCCTACCCCACAAACCAGTCCAGCTGCTTGGGCTGGGCACTGGCAGGAAGGTTACAGAGCAACTTCAAGCTGAGACAAGCTTCCTGCAGAATCCATTGGCTCAGCTGGGGAAGGCTTAGTTTTGGGCCAACCTGGTAACGCTGGGGTCCCAGTCTGAGTCTCAGCTGCAGTAAAGCGTCAGGAATGGCGAGTCCCATCACATGGAAGCAGTGGAGCTCAGACACATGCTTGGGTTGGAGGAGAGAGAGAAGTGGCAGTCCTGCTAACTTGTGATAGTTTTGTTTCCAGCAATGTTGACAACAGTTTAAGTGCATCAGAAGGCATGAGGTTGATCACAGAGGGCCTTGCACATCCGAAATAAAGTAAATGTGAAACTCAAGCTCTCCTTCTGAACTGAACTGGTTATTCTGTCCCCCATTCAGCATGTAGGAATCATACACAGGGCCAGGGAAAATTCTCATGGCACAGACATAAGTAGGTTTGCCAGGGGTCCTGTTTTTGACCGGAACGCCCGGTGGAAAAGGGACCCTGGCAGCTCTGGTCAGCACGACTGACAGGGCCATTAAAAGTCTGGTCAGCAGAGCAGCGGGGCTAAGGCAGGCTCCCTGCCTGCCATGGCTCTGCGCGGCTTCCAGAAGCAGTGGCATGTCCCCGCTCCAGCTCCTACACTGCCCCCGCCCCAAGTGCCAGCTCTGCAGCTCCCATTAGCCTGGCTGTGCCTCTGCGTAGGAGTCAGAGGGGGGACATGCTGCTTGAGATAAGTGCCGGCCAGAGCCTGCACTCCTAACCCCCTCCCATGCCCCAACTCCCTGCCCTAGCTTGGAACCCCCTTCTACACCCAAACTCCCCTGCACCCCACACCCACTCCCGCACCGCAACCACCTGCCCTAGTCCTGATCCCACTCCAGCTCTCTGAACCCCTCAATCCCAGCCCGGACCCCCTCCTACACACCAAACCCCTCATCTCCAACCCCACCCTAGAGACTGCACACCCAGCCGGTGCATTCATACACCCCTTGCGCCCCAGACCTCGGCCCCAGCCCTGATCCCCTTCCCGCCCACTGAACCTCTCAGCCCCAACCCGGAGCCCTCTCCTGCACCCGAAATCCCTGAGCCCCAGCCCCACACCCCCAGCCCAGAGTCCGTACCCCCCACACACACCCCAACCCCCTGCCTCAGCCCAGAGCCCCCTCCTGCACCCTGAACTCCTCATTTCTGGCCCACCCCAGAGCCCACACCCTCAGCTGGAGCCCTCACCCTCTCCCGCACCCCAACCCCCTGAACCAGTCTGGTAAAAAAGAGCAGGTGAGTGAGGGTGGGGAGAGCGAGCTACAGAGGGAGGGGGGATAGAGTGAGTGGGGAGCGGGGCCTCAGAGAAGGGGCATGGCAGGGGTGGGGCCTCAGAGGAGGGGCAGGACAGAGAGTGGGACCAGGGTGTTCAGTTTTGTGCACATAGAAAGTTGGCTACCCTAAACAGTGGGCTGCTCTAGGCAGTTGTATGCTCTCCCCTGCCAGCCCAGACATAGGGGGTGTTAAGGTAGAAGAGGACAGAGCTATAACGCTTGCTTCTATAGACGTTCTGGCTTCTGTCACAAGCCATAGGCAGGCCCGGGGAGGCTGTCATAACTTAGAGCTAGAGCTGTGCAAATAATGGATTTTTCAGTTCACCAGCAATTCTGAAAACTCAGGGAAAAAATGTGTTTTGTGTCAACCCAAAACACTACATTTTGTGAAATTTTCAGCAAAATCAAAAGGTCAAAAATATTTGATGCAAAATGAAACTTTTCATTTAGATTCCGAGCATTTAACATTTTTTAATTTTTTAAAATAAACCGGAGGAAATTTCTAAATGAAAACTGGTTGGAACTGAAAACTGGAAATGCTTTCATTAGAAAATGTCAAAATGAAACATTTCGACTTTGTCAGAGGTTTTCTTTTTTCCACACAAACAATTCAGCGAAACCAAAAGGAGTTCACAAAATATTTCAGCGTTGCTGAATTTGCATTTTTTGCTGAAAAACGTTTAGGATGAAAAAATTCAACCAGCTCTATTAGAGCAGCTCCAGGGCTGCCCAAAGAGACTTTTGACCTTTGGAGATGCACTGAATTTGGTGAGTGCAAAGGGGACTCAGAGATGCCTTTGCGTTCCACCGTTTGGGCTGCACCTCCAGGAAGCAGAGCACCAAATCTGAGCCTATTCCTGTGATCCAGGTGAGGAGGGAGAGAGCTCACACCCACTCAAGGGTGTAATTTCTAAAGTATAAATTCCATCAAACTATTTTGGTCACTGCTTAAGAGCTTCCTCTTTGCAGAAATTCTTGTTCAGTCCTTGAGCAGGCACAGTCATTTCTGCTAGAACGTCTTCCTCCTCCTCCTCTTTTTTAAGTATTTGCTAACTAATATTAATCCAAGAACAAATTTGGCAAACTGAGATTTTTCAGTATTCAACAAATATTTTTCCCCATTCTCCTAAAGGCTTTTGAAAAGATTCACATCAAGGTTAGTGAAAAACCTTTCCTGCAGTTTGAGGAAGAGCAGTTTTAATGTCCATATCTACAGGAAGACAGAGCATATAAATACAGCAAACAACTGAACCAGGTCGGTTTTCTGACAACAGGGTAAACCTCACCAGTGTAACAAGCTCTCTTTTTTTTAATTATTAATTACCTAACATTCAGCAGGTACTAAAAATGGTACACTATTGATTTGCTTTTGTCCAGACACATCATCAGCTTTACTCATGGGCCCTGAAGGGGTGAAATAAAAGAACAAAAACTATTTCTATTTTTCCAATAACTCAAAGACTATTTGATGCCAAGAACATGCAGCATTTCCATCTTATATCCTCACTGCAAACTACCTGCAGCTGAGAGGGATATTAGTATTCTTCTGATAGGGAAGCCATATAACAATATCTTTCAGACTTGTTT